TAGGGTTAGGGTTAGGGTTAGGGTTAGGGTTAGGTTTAGGGTTAGATTTAGGATTAAGGTTAGGTTTAGGATTAGTTTTAGGGTTAGGTTTACAGCGCGCTTCTGTTGCTGTGCTGTTGTCGCCGTGCTTTAGCGCTCATTCATCGGCGCACTTTAGAACTCGCGGTTTTGCCACCGCGGTTTAGTCGGGCGCGCTTTTGTCGTTCGCCCTTTTGTCGGTGAACCGACATTTGAGGCTCAATTGTGGTCGTAAGTTGAGGACTACCTATATGCTCTGTGTCAACTCGGTCGGAACCCTGGCCCTCTGGTCAGCAGGATAGCTTAAGAACACTTTTGCAGTTGATTACAGTTTATTTAAACTGTGATTGCTAGTTTGCAAAGAACTTGTCAGGAATTGGTCAAAGGTAAATGAATGCTGAATGATTCTTGTTCTTTTTAATAGAGAATAAAAAGAGGAAGTACATATAGTATGGCGAGTTTCTAAATGATGCTGAACGTTTGTCTAGTAGGAAGATACTGAGTATTACTCTTAGAAAGGACTACTCCAGGATCTCAACCCCTATATCTTCCCAGTCAGTCAATTTATCTATCTGCATCATGGTAAAAAATAGGCGTATTGTTTGACTTCCAAACCTGGCGCGTAATAGCAGTAACATATTGGCTCTAAAAAGCCGTCTGAGTATTGGCATAGAAATGAATATACCAGCAGTTTGACTTCTCTTTCTGGTAAAACTATAACATTTACTGCATTTCAAAAAAGCAGTGGTTCATTGAACTGGACTTGCATATATCCTACTTCTTAATAATCATCACAGTATGCAGCAGTCAAAGAGCTGTAACTTTATACTACTTCAGTATTTCTTTCTTTTTTTTTGAAGCACACACAATAACAGTGAGTTTTCTTCTTTTTATTTTTCTTTTGTATTTTTTCCTCCCTGCTATACACATTAAGTCTTTACTGCCTTTTTAAAAACAGCAAAATAAAACCCCTTCTCAATTTAACTCCCTTACTGAACGCATTACTCATTTTCTGCTTGCTTTTCATACACAAATTGTCCCCTCTCCACGTTTTTCTGGGTTTCGAAGATGATGCAGCATTTCTTCAATTCAGTTCTACCTTTGTTTGCCCGCATGACGGATGGATGACACACAAAAGGTATTTTGACATTTTTCGGGCATTTGCTTCGTAATTCACTGCCAGTTTCAGTGATTTAGAAATTGGTCCGAGTACTAAGAAAAATCTTTTGCTTTTGAGATCAATTTAATGTTTAAAGATAGCAGTCCAGCTGCTGAGTTGAGATCCAGATGTATTTTTCCACAGCCTGTTGATCTATAGTTTTTGTTGGGTACATCTCTAGATCAAATGCCAAAAACTCCAGCCAATAAAGGATTTTAAATGGCCTTTTGGAAAAAAAAATTGGATAAGGCTATGTCTGATCAGGTTGCCTTAGCTATATTTGAGTTGGACAACAATTTTTTCTTCATCTGCCAAAATTGTCACTATGTGCTGAAATTACAAAAAGCCAATAGCTATGCTTGTTTACCTGAACTGGCCAACACCCACCAAGTCACAGTGAAAATGCTGAACCAGACTGAAGGGAAAAATCTTACTTGGGCACAATAACTTGCATAGCTGCTTACACACTTGGAAAAACCAAGTGGATTCAAATTTCCAGCACCGAATATACATTAATATTGAAAATATATTTGACATAACTAGCATACACCAGGAAACACTCCCTCAACGCATATACAATATGATTTAACTTAAAATATAACTTATTTTGGAATTGCCAAGTTACTGTAATGGTTTACTTCTAAATAAGTTCATGCTTGCATCTAGTATTGAAAAATTACTGCGATTATTCAAATACTCTCACTCCAATCCTATATGACAACGAGGAGCAACTGAAAGAGATATCATACAGTTCTATAAAAATATTTGTCCTCGTTCAGATTTTTGCATACCTTTGCCCCTGAATGTTATCAGATATATATTCTCTATAGAAATCGAATCAGTGTGACAAACTAATATTAAAATTTCACTGTTGCTTCTCATATGTCCTAAACAAAGTCACCCAACTAGGCAAAGTGCTAGAATAAAAAAACTAAAGTTCATAGATTCCTGAACTAGCTACACTATTTTAGTTGTTAAAATTGATGTAGGTTCTGGAAGGCCCTAGGGCCGGTTCGCTCATGTGCGCGCTGAGTGTGCCCGCTTGATGAGCAGTGCATGCGCATGAGCAGTGCAATTAAAATTGTTCTGCACATGCGCAGAACTGAAAAACAAGATGGCGGTGCCTAGAGCGCCACCCAGAGAACTGGTATGGGGGCATGGCAGACCTGGGTCACTGCCGGTTCTAGCGACCCAGGCCGTCCAACCACTACCGGTTTGGCTGAATCAGTCCAAACCGGTAGGAACCCACCACTGTTATAACTGCAACCAAACAGTTCCAGTTCTTAGTGATCAGTCTTTTACATTGTACTGTAGGAATTTTGCCCCTTTTCTCCATGGCAAACAACTTCAGAAACATTTGAGGATCTTCTAGCATGATCATTTCCATCCTTCCCAGGTGGGTAAAATGAGGACCCAGATTGTTGCAGGAAATATGCTGGCTCTGTAAACCGCTTAGAGAGGGCTGTAAAGCCCTGTGAAGTAGTATATAAGTCTAAATTCTATTGCTATTTCCGATCCTGCAGGTTGGATGACTTTACTCCAGAAATAATGGACAAAAGATCAGACCCTGTCTATCGGTCAATAGGACCCACATGAAGTTCTTGTAATTTTCAGGGACAAAGATATGCAAAAATTCAGATAATCAAAAGGAGGGAGGGAGTTTTAGTTCACAGACATGCCATATTTTTTGGAGTATAAGACGCCTCAGAGTATAGGATGCACCAAGGTTTTGAAGAGGCAAATTAAAAAAAAAGTTTTTGCACTCTGCAGACCTCCCGAAAATGCCACCCCCTTTTCTTCAAAAAAAAANTCCCATCCAGTCACATGGGCAGCAAGCCACTCCCACAAAGGAGGCCACACCCACAGAGTAGGTTCGAACAATTTTTGAAACCCACCACTGGTGTGACTTCTTACAATCCAATCAACCAATAAGAAGCCATACCCAACTAGTCACCACATAAATATTATGTATAGCATAGCCCAAAGCACACATTCAGTTGGAGAGAAGTCCCCAGAGGATGGGCTCCAGAACAAGTCTTAAAGCTTGGAAGATTAAACCTCTGTTCCCAGTGACTGACCCAAGTTGGATCCTGCAAGTAGCTTCAGTTCACCTATGTTCAAATGAATTAACCTAGTGGTTAAGATGGCCTTCTTAAGAGAATTTTTCACCTCCCAGAAATGTCCAGCTAACATGGCATACTGGTGGGACTGGATGACCTACAGTTCAACAAGGAACACACAGGTTGAACAAGATGAACAGATTATTAGGATAATTGAAATAGGCCTGTTTTATATGCCTGAGGAACATCCTGGGAAAACACAGAATATTCTTTAGAATGCAGCTTAATCGTACAGTGGGGAAAATGCTACTTGGCAATTACAGTCTAAAGCAGTGTTTCTCAACTTTGGCCACTTGAAGATGTCTGGACTTCAACTCCCAGAATTCCCCAGCCAGCATTCGCATTCGCTGGCTAGGGAATTCTGGGAGTTGAAGTCCAGACATCTTCAAGTAGCCAAGGTTGAGAAACATTGGTCTAAAGTCTTGCTACATAAGATCTTCCAAAACTTATCATCCCTTCTGACTCAAATGCTTTCAGGAAACAAGAGTTGTATATATTATTCTCTTTAGAAAGTTTGTTTTAACGTAAAGAAGAATGAGACAGAGGAGGAAGCATAGAAACAAATGGGGGAATAACAGCAAAATACCTATTAGGTTACATATAGAAAACACCGTTCAGCCACATTTTTAGAAAAACCATTAATCCTTGACCATATGAAATTGTATTCATTGGTCTTTCCTTTATGCTGGAAAAGAGCCAACTCACAGACAGAACATTCACATGAAGCCATACCTCAATATTATAACAGCTCCAAATGCAGAGGAGTAGCTTCATACTGTACAAGCTATTCTGGAAAAACTCACCATTACTCATATAGAAAATGTATTGGTTAACCTCATCTGTTGCAAATTGGTTTAACCAATCAGTCACACTTATAACTTCTTTGGCTGCTCTATCGTAAAGTAGCTTCCAAAACTTAGCACTCTCCAACTATGTAACTCCCAGCCAAGGTCTAAGGCTGGGTTTCTTAAACTAAGGGCCATGATCCCCCACTAAGAGTCACATGGCCAGAATCATGTTAAAAAAAACAACAACAATCGGGCTTGCAGAGGCAAAGAGAACATGACAAAAATTTGTTTCGTGCTTTTTCTCTGTAAGCTGGTTGTTGGTTCATCCAAGGCAGAACATGAGCAAGTTTTGACTACATAATCTCTAGGGCCGTCAAACTCCTTCTGCATACTGATCTCTACCTTCCCTGTTCAAATCTGTAGCAGGAATTTGCAAATTGCCAAATTTGTGACTATCTGCAACTTATAAATTGAAATTACAGCATAAAGAGTATATGTTTATTTCTTGCCAGTTCTAGTTCTAGCTTCCAGTTCTAGCTTCGATAAAATCAATAGTGTTCTTCATTTGACATTTTAGTCCTGATATTGAAAATCTGAGAGTCTTGGCTTTCTCTTTTCTCTTGATTTACATTAAAGAAGCAAATTCTAAGTTTCTTCACCCTAGTTAACCTGTCAGAGTTGTTGCAATGTGGGTGTTGCACACTGTACATGATTGATGCTCTCAGAAAACAATCTATGGCCACCTTTTTTATCAGATCCACATGTTAAATCACAACCAATGAAGTCTAAGTTTTAACTTAAACTCTTAGTGGTGGTGTAGATCGGAGAACAAAGTAATTACAGATGTGAGTTTCTGTGTGCCAGAAAGAGAAAAAGGGAGAGGAATCTTTTCACAACTTACCTGAGCTAATCCTGGGATATCTTTTTCTCTTTTCGTGCATAAGGTCACCTCACAGTGTAGAAAGAGAAGAGAGCTGTTGAATGTGGATTTGAACAAGAAGCTAAACCGCTTTTTGTCAGTATGGGCATTTGGTACAGGAAAATTAGCTTTTGGAACATTGAAGAATCTTACAGACTCCTCTTTAGGGCAAACGTTTTCAATAATGGTGTATTCTGACATTCGGTCAGGATAGGAATTGGGTGAAACAAAGCAAGTTTGGATTACAAAGCCCAGGGATCTTTCAGCCTTTGTCAGAGAAATCTGCATGAGAAAGGAAAAATAGATCATGCTACATTTAATGTTTTGAAGATTGCATAGCAGTCTAATAAAGTCAGTCAATCAGATGTTGAGTACCTTGGTTACCCCTCCCACTTGGATAATCTGTAGAATTAGGAAATCCTGGTGCCTTTCATTCCTCCCGCATCACAAGGGATTTTAAGACTTGAGAGACCGCCTGCTGCCAATCACCTCCACTAGACCGATTAGATCCCACAGATCGAATTCCATCCGCCGGCCAGTGCCGACTGGCGACTACCCGGAGGAGAGCCTTCTCTGTGGCTGCTCCGACCCTCTGGAACG